TATATATATATTATATTGCCTTCCAGCCCTTCGGATGAACGGACCTGCAGCACTTGTGCTGCTGCAGCAGCAGCAGCAGCAGCTGCTGCTGCTGCTGCTGCTGCTGCTGCTGTTGCTGCTGCTCAGTCTCGCAGCAGCTCCTCCAGATCGATGTCTTCCACATCCGGGGCAGCTCCGGGGGCAGCTGGTGAAGTCCCCCTTTTCGTCCACTGCTGCTGCTGTTGCTGCTGCGGTTGCTGCTGTTGCTGCTGCTGCTGCTGCTGTCGCTGTTGCTGCTGCTGCACCGGTGTTGCTGCTGCTGCTGCAGCAGCAGCTCCTAAGACCTGTGTAGGCTCTTCAAGGCCGTCACCAGCCCACGAATCATCCAGGGTAAACTCCAGCTCCTCTGCCCCAGCAGCAGCAGCAGCAGCAGCATCAGCAGCAGCAGCAGCTGCTGCTGCTGGTTGTGCTGCTGCTGCTGCTGCTGGGGCTGCTGCTGCCGTTGCTGCTGCTGGTGCTGCAGCAGCTGCACGGCCTGCATGCGATTCTCCCCCAGGGGGCCCCCATTCGTCATCAAGGCTCAGGGAGTCCTCATCACCTGCTGCTGCAGCTCCTGCCATGGCTGCTGCCGCTGGAGAAGTTGCTGCTGCTGCTGCTGCTTGTGCTGCTGCTGCTGCTGCTGCTGCTGCTGCTGCTGCTGGGGCTTTTGTGTTATTCTGAGACGTTGGGGCTCCCCAATCATCTTCGAAGTCCAGATCGTCATCTTCAGATGCTGCTGCTGCTGCTGCTGCTGCTGCTGCTGCTGTTTCTGCTGCTACATGCACTGCTGATGCAGAAGACCCTGCTGCTGAAGGTGCTGCTGCTGCAGGTGGTGCTGCTGCAGGTGATGCTGCTGCAGCAAGTGCTGCTGCTCCTTTGCTTGTGTCTGCCCCAGTTGCTGCAACTCCCCAGTCGTCTCCAAAGTCGAGGTCTTCCTCTTCAGATGCTGCTGCTGCTGCTGCTGCAGCTGCTGCTGCTGCAGGTCCTGTAGGAGTTGCTGCTGCTGCTGCAGGTGCTGCTACTGCTGCAGGTGCTGCTGCTGCTGCAGGTGTTGCTGTTAGTGCTGTTGTCTCGCCATGAGTTGTTGGGGCCCCCCAGTCATCATTAAACTCCAAATCCTCATCTTCATAGACAGCTGCTGCTGCTGCAGGTGCTGCTGCTGCTGCTGCAGGTGCTGCTGCTGCTGCTGCAGGTGCTGCTGCTGCTGCTGCAGGTGCTGCTGCTGCTGCAGCAGGTGCCGCAGCTGCAGGTGCTGCTGCTGCTCGTTTGCTTCCGTCTGTAGGGGCTTGAGCAACTCCCCAGTCATCCTGAAAGTCGCTGTCCTCCTCAGAATCAGCT